TATATATATATATATATATATATGTGTATATACACATATATATATATATGTGTGTATGGAACTTAGCATAATGTACAATCAGTAAACAAATTCTATAAATTACATTAAAACAAAAACATGGAAAGAAATGAGGGACGCTCTTGTGAAACTTCCACCAAGTCAGGACTCATCATACTTTTTGAATTCAGTCATAATAATAATAATAAAGTGTATTTATACACCGAGATAACTTCTATTTATTCAGCGTATCCCGAGAGTGTGTTTGTGTGTTCATACAGAGTGCACCAGGTGCCACAGCGCTCTGTCCACCCCACTTCCTATGATGTCAGTGGGAGACAATGGCAGGAAGAGGACAGGAAGGATGTCATATCTGTTCACGCCTCACTTCCTGTCTCTCCCTCTCTCTCTCTCTCTCATGTCTCTTTAGGTTCAGAGCTGCTCGGCCAGTAAACAGGTTGTAACAACACGACTGTGTTTGACCCAACATCATGGATCCCCCGGTTTATCCTTCCTGATGTTGTGGATAGGTAAACAACAATAGTGTGTCTGCTTTTGATCAGACTCTAAAAAAGGATTGCATTTGCATTGCATTTGTGTGTTTGTATATAAGTGTGTGCTCATGTGCGGACATGAGTCATGAAGACAGTGAGACTGAGGATGTTTTTGGAAAGTGAGGCCATTTTAGTCTTGACTTTCTCTCAGGACCATTTGAGGGTCAGGACTTGTTTTTAGGTGCAGGTTAGAGTTAGAGGGGTTGGGGGGCTACTGGCACTTTTGCACAACAACAACAACAACAACAACAGATCTTTAACATTGTAGGTTTTTATTAACAACACTAAGTGTTTGCAATATTTCATCTTTCCTCATTGATATGAGCTGGAAAAATATATCAGAAAGCCTCTTAATATGACGCAATACAAAACAACTTCCTAAATGACCGTGATGTTGAATAGACACCTCTCTAATTACAGTTTCACCAGAAAACTGAATATTCTAACCTTTTATTCCTGTAAAATGTAAAAAAACATTGTTAATGACTGATGAAAAACTCTGTGCCGTGACATAAATTTATTCAATCAAATGTGATCTAGGGTGCTAGCTAACGCCCACCCTTCATTTACTGGCCTTGACCGTGAGCTTGTGGGTAGCAAGCAGAACAGTGTCATACTTGGAGGTGTGTTTGGGTTCCAGTTGGCAAAAACTTTGCTTACATTTCCACAGACTGGATGGGATGGTGAATAGACCTGCATTTATGTCGTGCCTTTTTAGTTTTCCGACTACTCAAAGTGCTTTTACACTAGAAGTCACATTCAACCATTCACACACACATGCACACACTGATGGCTGACGCTACTGTATATGGTGCCACTTGCTACTCCGTTTTTAGACATTTACACACCGATGGCACAGCCACCAGGAGCAATCTGAGGTTCAGTATCTTGCCCAAGGATACCTCGGCATGTGGACTGACTGCTGATCTTCCAATTTGTGGACGACCCGCTCTACCTCATGAACCACACCTGCCCCCCGACTGTGGTTAAGGTCTAATTCATTCATTTCACCCTTCCCCTCCTCTTTAAGTCTATTATAGTTAATCAAAATTAAACTCAAAACTAAAGCTAGGTGGGAAAAAACATTTTAGGTAACTGAAATAAAAATAAAAACTAGACTTTACAAAAGAATTAACTGAAATGATATTGTGTATTTACAAACTAACTAAAATAAAATAATAAAAAGTGTACAGGAAATGTCTTTAATTTTAGTCTTTTATCACACAACAAGCATGAGGAGGCATTAGTGCATATGTTTTTTGAGACTGGGATGTCTTGACTGTGAATCAATTGCCTTGCCTGTTATGAACTTTTTAATTCTTGCCCCTGACAAACACTCCTATATTACAATAATAAAAAAAGGAAAACTAATACTAAAACTAATTAAAACAAAACTAAAACTAAACATTTTTAGAGAATAAAAACTAAACTGAAACAAGGAAACCCAATCCTGAAACTTACTGAAATGAAACTTAATTGAAAACAAAAAAAAGCAAAATAAAAATAAAAACAAATGAAAAATACAAAACTATAATAAAATGATCTTGAGATCAAGAGAAGCGCTACTGGGTGGGTGAAGGGGTGGAAGTGATTGTGAACAGTGTTGGGTATCGGCAGTCTCCTCCCTCTTCCCTCATGTTTCTTGTGTTTTCCCCCCTCTCTCTAGTGTTTCTTGTCTGTCTCTCTCCCCTGTCTGTGTTAGTCTCTCTCTTGCTGCAGGGCGTGGCTGGTTACTCTCCCTCTCCTGTTCGTCCTCTCCTGTTCCCCGCCTTCTCTGCCTCCACTGCACACCTGCCGTCAATCAGCCTATCAAGTACTCACCTGCCTGCTCACTATAAAGACTCCAGTATTCATCAAATCATCCGTTTCCCACAGTGGTAACAACTCTGACTCTGCAGGACCTTTGTGAATATTTTGCTGCCTGTTTTGCCTTTTTGTCGGCTCTTTTTCCCTGACTGCTGTCCTCTGTGCTTCAGGGCTCGCCTCCAGTCGTAAGCCAGCCTTGCTCTGCTTTGTGTCTGTCCCTGAGACTCTGAGGATTGTGTGTCTGGAGGAAAACCCTGACTTCTCTGCGTGTCCACTCTCTACCGCTTTATTTTTGTAGAGTTTTTGTTTGATGATATTTTTACTTGGAGCATTCCATTAAAGTTTTGTTATCTTTTGACTTTTGTCTCCGAGTCTGAATTGTTGCGTTGTGGGTCCTATTCAGTACTTAAACCTAACAGACAGTCTTTTAAGCACTGCTCCAAGACTTCATGGACAAATCTTTAAATATATATCACAACTAAAGTAATTATTGTCTAATTTAAAATGATAAAATATACCTTACATCAAGTTTCAATCGCAGACAATCACACACAGACCCAAATTTAATGTTAAATCTCACTATGATGCTTTAATCTGTGATGTAAGAGTTGTCTGCGTTCCTTAGCTTGTTTCACTGACAAAAAATAATACAGAGTCAGTGATTACAACTTAACCAATGATGGCAGTTTATGAAAGTACACCTACTCAGTGAGTCCATGGTGTCCCGTCCTGGACCCTGTGCTATGGACTGGTTTTCTGTTGTTGGCCCGCTGTCTGAGTCTGACGCCTGCCGCTCACACTGCAGCACCTGGCGAAGAACAAGTAGAAACCTTTATTACTTCTCTTTTTTTCTCATTAACAGAGAGGAGAGGAATGTTACATATGAACAGATATACAGTATATTTTCTGTTTCACCAAATCCTTCTGTCCTAAAAAAGCAAAATCATGTCAACATCAGTGACACAGAAGTTTGTTTAAATGTGGGTTTTTGACTTTTATGTATTTTTAAACCCATTCTGCCAACATGGTCAGTAACTGCCATGTCATCATGTATTCAGCTCGTTGGCTCTGCAGCTGTGTACCAAAACTTCGTATGAAGCTCTTTGAAAACTGGCCAGCTCAGCAGCCACAATAATGTCACCTCACTCACACTCCTTTTAACTGGAAGCCAAAGGAACAGTTGTGTCATGTGTGGGTGGAAAGAGGTGATGTCAGCAACAGAGAGTGAAATGTAAAAAGTAGTGCAGATTCAGAATGAAATACACCTCAGTAAATGGAGATATAAATATTACAGTAGAGTAAAATTGAGACATATGACCCATACATGCAACAACACAAGACAATACTGTAGATAACACATTCAGAGTCACATGCAAAACCTCACACACCTTATCAAGCTCTAATTTCCTCTGTATAATGGGAGAAGTGGATCCATCCAGTCCTTCAGTGTTGCTACATTGACTGCCAACATCTTGCACCACCTGGTTTCAGAAAAAGAAAAACCTTCACTTCCAAAGAACACTTGTGTTCCCCCCTCAGCCATACTCCCCTGTGTCCTCCCACTCTTGTCTGTCTCAGCATCAGCCCTCTGATATAGTGAATAAAGGTACCTTGAGCCACCGCTGGGCCTGCTCTTTACTCTGAACAGCCAGGACTAGAGCTTCGCCTCCAGGCAACGAGAAGCGCAACTCATGTCTCTTTTTCCGGCCTTCCTTTGGGACGTAGATGACGTTGCACAGATTCAGCGGGAGCTCTGTGTGGGGAGTGCTCTCTTTGATGCTCTTATAGCACTGTAAAAGACAGATAGTGAGATGCTGAGACCCCAAGTCACAAAAATTTTACTTTGATGTGTCATTTGATGCTATTTCGCTTAAAATGTAACCTTTGAAAATGTTCTAGCAATGTCGTTTAAAGGTTACCATCCCTGCAGAAAACCCTGTTCTTTTACCGGAAACTAAATGAAAGGTGAACCATTATAAGTACTAGAATACCTCACAGCATTTATCATCTTCATAACTATGCATCATATTGTTTTGCATTCCCATTGTTTTCTCATTGTTTTCTGAAGACACAGGAGTGATTGTCTGGAGTTACAACAATATCTTTCCAGTTCAGTACAGATTCGTTTTTCATTATTGGTGGTCATTAAGTTTAATTTCAGTTTTAATTCAGTTTAGTTTCAGTTTCCAGGGTTCCTGGTTCAAACCCAGGGTGGGGGAGCCCTTCTGTGCAGAGTTTGCCTGTTCTCCCTATGTCACCGTGGGTTTTCTCCAGGTACTCCAGCTTCCTCCCACAGTCCAAAGACATGCAGGTTAACTGGTGACTCTAAATTGTCCGTAGGTGTGAATGTGAGCGTGAATGTTTGTCTGTCTCTATGTGTCAGCCCTGTGATAGTCTGGTGACCTGTCCAGGGTGAACCCCACCTCTCGCCCAGTGTCAGCTGGGATAGGCTGCAGCCCCCTTATGACTCCTAACAGGATAAGCAGTTTCAGTTTAGTTTTTATGGTTTAAAAAGGGTTCGTTTTAGTTTAGTTTTTTATCAGTTTCCGTATTAGTTTAAGGTTTTTTTTTTCATTATAATATGGAGGTTATTTGTCAGAGGCAAAATTTAAGAAGCTCGGAGCACTTATTACAATACAATACAAAACAGATACAGCACAACACTTTGCAAACACAGCTGACTCACAGTCATGTACTGTAAACATCCTAGTTTCAATAAATATATGCACCAAGGCCTCCTCAAGCTTGTTGTGTTGACAAGTTTGACCAAATTGACAAAGAATAAAAGACATTTCCTGTATGTTTTTATTTATTTGAGTTAGTTTTGTAAGTACAAAATATTGTTTCAGCTTTTCTTAAATCTTGTTTTAATTTTTATTTCAGTTAACTAAAATGTTTTTCCCTACATCACATTGGTTTAGTCACCTGTTGTAGAATGCCATTATTTAACTATATCTATATATACTGTATATACATATAATTTCATGTTAGTGCTGTTGGTGCATGAAGATGAGATTTATTGAAATGTTCCACAGCAACAGTGAATGAAAAACATTGTGAAGACAAAGAGCAGTGTGCTATGAGTGTTATGGATGTGTGTACTTTTAGCACTAAATGACATTAGATATATTTTAGATCCTTTGGTTTGAAAGTTTAAGTTAACACTCACAGCACAGCTCTATTTACCTGGAGTTTAGTGTCACGGACGACGACGAGCTGTTTAGCCCACTGACCGAAGCGTTTCTTTCTCAGCAGGAAAGCACAGATGCGGCAGTCTCTGACTGGTCCATCGGGACTCTCCTCAGCTGTCCATCTCTGAGGTTGCTCTCGCCCTTTGGCCTCTTCTTCTTCTTCTTCATAAGACTCGTAGGAGCTGCTCAGAGCATCGGAGTCATTGTCTGAGCACCAGAAATAGCATTAATTATTACATTACAGACAACTTCTGGTTCTTTTCTTTATGTATTCCACATACTTCATGATGTTTTTATTGTATTATTGTGCAAAAGAGAACGGACTTACAGGAGTTTTTGGGAGGTCCATTAATCCTGGTGATGGGGTAGTTATTGTCTGCATCTTCATAGTAGGCATCCTCAACAGAATTCCTGGAAGCTGCAGGAGAGGAGACGACGCGTCGAAATGAGATAAACTTCTAGTAATTCAGTTGATTACGATTATTCATGAGTGTGCATATCTGTGCTTTTAAATTTGTGTACAGAACTGTTCATGTTGGTTGTAAAGTACTGAGGGGTGGATCCAGGATCTAGAGGAACAGCCTCTTCATAGTAGTCATCAGGAAGTGGGGTGTTTGGTAGAGGAGGGGGCGTGTCAGTCGGTGTCTGAGGTGAAAGTTGAACCAAAGTTTTAGTGACAAGGATGACAGAGGAAGATGGACTGACAGGTAGATATGTAGACAGCTTACAGATTTGTTAGGATGAGTCTTCTCCTCTTCCTCTTTGTGCTCTTTCTGCTCCACTGGAGATGCACTGAGCATGTGCAGATCACAGTCTGGAGGAGGATTACCGGTATCATAAATATGGTATAATACATTTTATGAAATCACACATTTTGTAGATGTGATATGATGCTTTAAAACATACACTACTGATAGATCCTACACAAGACTTCTGAACATTGAATTAGTTTGAAGGTCTACTCACCAAAATCTTCAAACAGAGACTCTACAAAGCTGGTGCCGTTGCCATAGAGACAGCTGTTCATGTACACGTCTGATCCATTGACTGTGGAAAGGATAGATTAGGGGTTAGAAATAGGATCAAAGTTAGGGCTGGGACTGTGGTGCATGCTGGGGTCAGGAGAGTACGGATTACCAGACTGTAAGCAAGTAAGTGCTCAGTGAGTATGTACACTGAACAATCTGCATTTTTAGACATATAAATTGAACGGATATGGAAGTCAGACAACAAGGGAGCTCAGAATGGAGCTTGTAAATCTTTGTACCGAAGGAACGAAGATAACTGAAGTCATAAAATGCGTATGAACGTTTGCCAAACCTCCCAGACTTTCTGGAAGTGTTTTAGAATCAGCGTGAGAAATAAATCTCAAAAGTATTTGGCTGTGAAAAAGCGGAATTGAAGTGGAATATGCTAATGTGCCGTGTAAAAGTCTGGAGAGTGTGTTTGGGCAGGGCAGCCTGGGCCCATTCACACAATGTGAGGATGTGTCACTATCAGGATGTTTTGTTTTTCTCCTTTCTTTGACCTCCTCTCATTAGCCTCGCCAAACTTTACATTTCATTATCCTCTTACCACAATCCTTTCATCCCCTCCGACAACTCCCGGATAAACAAAGATCCACTGTAAGGACTTCAGTGAGACTTGAGTCAAATTTGCATGTTTCTAAATGCAACACAATTACTGTAGTGTATCTTACACTGTGTTGTGCTGGCTCATGACAGGAAGGTTACTGTCTGAATAAACACTGCTGTAGTAACCTTGAACAAATTGCTCAACTCTAAAATGCTTCGGCTGCAAGAGTCACACCAAATTAATGTGAGGCCGGATGCAGCTGAAAGCCTGCAAGCATGGTCAGTCAAATTCCATCAAATAAATAACATTTCATTTGTAGCTGCACCTCATTTAATACTCTAATTTACTTTTTCCTGTTAGATGTTTGTTTGCTCTTGTTAGATGACATCATGCACCTCTGATGTGGTAAACCTACAGCAGCTTGAAATTGAACGCAACTTACTGATGTGAGAAGATTCAAATCAGCCTCCGTAAAATAATAAAAATGAGTTTGACAAAGCGATTTAATGCTTTGAGTCCAGTGTATTTGACTGTATAAACAAATATTTGAGTGTTGTTTTTTGTGCTGCAAAGCAATTAATGGAAGCTGTGTAATGCCAGCTGTAAACATCACATCAGCAAAAATAAATATAACTGTTTACAGTGAATTAATGGAGTTTAAAGGGGTTTGTCACATCACTGCACCTAAGGGCCTTGACACACCAAGCTGGCAGTTGGCCGTCGGTCAATGTCAAGCCATCGGTGAGCGTCTGTCACCATTGTTTTTGCAATGTGTCCTGTGCTGTTGGCTCTGGTCGGCCCTTGTTGGCTGTTTTGTAACCAATTTAGCATGATGAATCGGTGTCAGAGCCAGTGGAGCCTGTAGCTGAGTGGCAGTTTAACTTCGTACACAAGAAGAGAAACAAATGCTTTTATATACATTTTATGCTATTGAGCTCTTTAGCAGCAATGGTTTGCAACTGTTCGCTAGTGCATGGTAAACAACCTTTTGTTCTTTCAACACCGGGTTGTGTTGTTGATGTGCTAACTGGCTAACAAGCATCTGGAATCCATCCTGTTGGTATTCCAGTTTTTGTTTTTGAATGACGAATTCAGACCATAGATTTAAATACTAATGATATAGACTACCACCTGCCAGGCCCCCAGGAAGTGTGCTGGACTTTGACGGCAATTTTCGTTGTGGCCAAACAGTGGTACTGCAATTTCTGGGGACCGTCTCGTGATGCCATTGGACCAGAAAAGACTTTTTCCCATAGACTTACATTGGGACAGAGGTGTCTGTTTTGAGTGTCACAAATGAGTCGTTTCACTGTTTGGATTTAATCCATTCAGTCCAATAACATTTGTAAAGTCTAGAAGAGCCGCACAATTACATCATTTTATCTTCATTCAAGTTAGCAGAGTGCTAAACTGGAAGTAGACGGCTCAGCTGGCTGATGTCTCTAAAGCGCTTGCTCTATGGGCCCGCTCTATACCGTGGAAACAGAGCTCTTTTGGCTTCATGCGCCACTGAGCAACTTTCGCAGGAGCAAACAGGATCCTGCCTTCAAGCTGTATCCAAGTCTCTTAATACAGTAGATCCATGGCACCTGCAGTTATTTCTTCTCATGCAAGCACAGAACATACGGTTGGTTTGCTGTTGGCTGTAGTCTTTGCAGTGTGTTCAACCGCAACTTTTTTTTCATCACCATTAGTTCTTGGATGTCAGTTTAGTGTGTTTGGGCGTTATTGAAACCAGTATGGTAAGAAATATAGACCAGAGACATTTTATACACTGTCCCATCCGAGACCTAACTTTGTACCTGACAGCTGCACTGAGTCCAGGATGTTGCGTATGGAAGCCATCTTTTCAGCAGTGGCAGGACTGACCGTCTCATGGTCCAGCATTTTCAGCAGAGAGCTGAGCTCGTTCACAAGGCGCTCCATCACCACTGAAAAAATACAAAAGAACATATTATTATTATTATATTTGCAGAATGGAAATAAAATATTTTTTGGCACCGAGCACCATTATTAAAGCCCACACTGCAGACTCTCAACATGGCTAAAATTATTATGCTGTTACACAAACTGCATCAGATATCAATTTAACACATGCATGCAAGGCCATACGGGCAAGTGTGAGCAAAACTGGTGGAACACGACGGGCATGAAGTCAGTTTGGAACTCAGCTCACCGCCTGTTGCAACAGCTGACGGGGAGGAGATATTTAACATCCTAACACATCACCCTATTCATTTAGTCCGCTTCAGAGTCAGCCTTTCTGGGCATTAGCAAGTCTGTTCCCTTGACCCTACACTCACCCTTGAGAGGCTATTAACAACTTATTTCCCTAAAGTTTAAATGGAGGTTTAAAGTTAGACTAGCCAACTAGTCTATATGTAAGAAAACACTCAGAAAACAGTCAAAATTGAGTGCAGTTTAACCATAGTTATGAGGTTAGAAAAAACACATTGTATTTTAAGTTCCACTGAAATCTGAGGCACTTTGCAATATGCATGATGAACACTACTCAACTCAATACATTAAAGTTAAGAAATAACATTTATTAAAAACAATATTCTTTAGGAAAATAAATCTTTAGGAAATGTCCCTGATTACAGCATTTCATCAGGTGAATGTAACAGCATGAAATAATAATATTTTCAATAATAACTTTAACTAAAGACATTTCAAGCTTTCTTTGAAAAATAATTGTTTTCATGTTCAACTTTGACATCCTGTGTGTGTCCGTGTGTGTCTGTGTGTGTTGTTGACCTTGACATTGTTCCAAAAGCCCTGCCACACTCTCACACATCCTGCCTGCTCAGAGCCGACAGAGAAAGGAGGAGGGGGGAGAGTCAGAGAGAGAAAAGGAGGTGAGGAGGAGGGGGGATGGAAACTTCCTTCCCTAAAGGAAATGGAGCCAAAGTAAAGAAGAAAATCTGTAGCTCCAGCAGAGATAGAATAGGATACGGTTACCAAACTGCCTGTCGCACTGAGTTAGTTCATTCAGTTGATCAGTCATTCAAAGGACATTAGTTTGAGTATTAGCAGACAGCTCCAGTTCTGCAGCAGAGTAAATGACAGACCTTTAATTAAATACTGGACACTGGCCACTGTTGATATTGATTTAAGTATTATGTCTGCCATTAAACAGATGGAGTGGATCATTCAGAGTGTAAGAGCCGCTAACCCTAAAATTATTTCATTTTCGTTTGGGTTTCAGTGGAAAGTTTTACTGTCCCAGCATGGCCCACAGGCTCTTTAAGTGGCTTTTCCGTGCAGCCAAGAAAAATATTTTGGGGAAACATTAAATCTTTGTCATTTTTGGCAATAAAATGATTAAATGTAAAATATACAATGTGCTTTCACCCAAAACACAAACAAGGTTGACAGGAAGTTCAAAGACACCTTGGCACAGACGCTGGAACCTCAGCGGTGACTAATCAGATGCTAAAACGAATGTTGCAAAACATAAACTTTCAAGACGCAGGTAATTATAGATGCTTAAGGATGAAATGTACATCTGCGCTTCTTTGGAAAGAACTGGTGCAAGAGTGAAGTTAAAATAAGATCAAAACAACCCTCTCTCACACACAGTGAGGACAGAGAGAGTGAGAGAAAAGCCCTCACTCTCCCACAGCCTCTTCCACCGGCCTCCCCCCAGTCCGACAATACTCTATTGTCTCCACGAGGGCCAAAATTAGATGACCACAATGCTCCCCGAGACCAGAGCAAACAATACAATGTCAGAAACTCCGACAAAAAAACAAAACAGGAACCAACACACACAGTCCAAGAGGGGCGTGGTGCAAAACAGCTGCATTGCTTCGTTCCGTGGGCATTCGGGGTTAAAGGATATATCTCCAGCAGCTGTGTGTGTGTGTGTGTAGTACTTCTCGGCCAGCAGCTGTGGTTTCCTGTCTTAGCTGTCGACAGAAGCGTCTCTCCACTCCTTCCTGATCTCGACTCTCTCCTCCATCCCGCTGCGAGTCTCACCTCTCTTTCGTCCTGACACTTTCCCCTCTCACTTTTCCATTTCTCTCCATCCTGCTGTTTCTCATTCTGTCCTCTATTGTCCTTAACTCTCCCTCCTTCTATGCTGGATCTTCCTCTGTCACCATCCTCTGTTTTTTTTCCTCATTTCTTGAATAAGCAGTTAAATTAGCTTCTCTATTGATCTACAGTGCTTCACTTGTCTAGGAAATGTTGCAACACAGGCTAAAAAAAGACAAGATTCAATGTAATCAATCTGAGCGTAAACAAAGCCAGCGCTGGGCTGATGGGGTCTCAGACGGGCCCTTTGGTCTATTTTCTGTTTCTTGACGTCGAACTTTACACAGTCAAGGCCGTCCATTCGTTTGCTATCTCTCCGTCTCTCTGTTGCTTTCTGTGTCTCACTCTCTGTCTCGGGGGGACCAGAGGGTTCAGAGGCTGAGAATCAGCTGTTCTGGAGGCTTGTGGTCGGTCTCACCCACAGAGGGATCTTTGTAACCCCCCATTCCCCACACACACGCTCAAACACACACATGCGGCACTGATTTTCTCTTCGAAGACACTGATGGACTTTCACTTAACTCACAGGGAGAACACACACAAACTATTAATTTGTTGCCGAAACAGAAATATCACCCTGTACAGAGTGAACGTACAGTCACAAGAGTATGTTGGAGAATGTGTTTGTGTCTTTTACCCACATTTTTGTGTGTGTCTGCAGACAGGCAGTCATGAGACTTGAGCCATGCGACTCTCATTTGAACTGATTTAGCGTGTTTGGTTGCAACGGAGAACAAAACAACTACTACTACTCACTGCTGCTGCTGTTTATCCCACCACATAATGTTCATGGGCAGCAGGGTGACAGAGAAACGATACTTTTCTCCTCCTAACCTAAGGCTTTGACTCCCATCCATTACACGTCTAACCCATCAATCACACCCATCCAAGGCTAACCTCCTCCCTGACTTGCCTCTCCCATCCAAACTATCCCTCCTTATTATTTTATTTTCCCTTCAGGAGTGGGAAGAAATATATGACTGCATTGAATTGAATTGTTGTTTCCATGAATCATGTTGCCTGAGCCACATGACTATCTGTAACAGGAACATTTAAGTTGTGCTTATGTGTCACAAACATGCGTTTTCATGCCTTTTTCCAAGTTAAGTGTATAAAGCTGCTGTTTTGCACTACAGCAGGCGCCCTCTTCCTGCCTCCCCCACACTCCCAGAGGCTGAGGTCCCTCCAGATCCCACATTCTCTCTTCCACTCCTTTCTTTCTCTCCTTCTCTGATCCTTTCCTTTTAACTCCTTTCCCTCCGTCCCTTCTCCAGACACCCATCCTCTTCAGACAGAGGTCAGAGTTCAAGTCTTGGCAGGCCCCAGCCAGCTCCCTCTCAGACAAAAGTCTACTTCAGAGATTCAGTGTCCCGTTATTCATATTTTCGTGACAACAGTAGATGGTGTCACTGCTCGTCCGGGGTCAGCATTCAGTCCGAGGCTTTAAAAAGTCCCCTCCAGAAACCAAGATCTTTAAAAAGAAACAGCTGGGGGAAAATAGTGGTGGAATTCTGTCTTTTTCACATTCTTTCAGTATCTTATCATTTTCCTCAGATAGTAAATGGTGAGGAGACACAGGAAACAGATGACACTGGCGCAGACACTGTGGCACAGCATGGGTCTAATTTAAAGCCCAGACTGCTGTGCTTTGGTTCCACCAGGAAAGGAGCCATTCAGATGTTGACCATGCACCACATGCCTTGGTTAATTAGCTCAACAAAAAACATTTTTGATGCATGATGTGAAAAAAAAAAGAAACCTTTTCTGCAAGTGCTGCTCTGCATGACTGAATGTAATGCTAATCTGCTTCGTGTTGCTTGCATGTCTGTTTGTGCTAACATGATGTTTGTTGTTGTTGTGTTATTGTATTGTACTGGTGCTCTGTTGCTGCTTTGCATGGCTTTTGTTCTATCTTGACAATTTCTATTTACTCTAGTTAATGCTGTCTTTATGTCCTTAGGCTGTCTTTGTCCTGTGAATTGTCCAGTGAATTTTATTACCTCCGCCAAGGAGGTTATGTTTTCACCAGCGTTGGTCTGTTTGTCTGCAAAATAACTCGAAAAGTTTTGAATGGATTTTGATGAAATTTTCAGGAAAGGTTGATAATGGGACAAGGAACAGATGATAAAATTGTGGTGGTGATCGGTTGAAGCGAAGTGGATAAAACAATAAAATGGCGGGAAATCTGAGCTGCTTGGCGGAGGTCTGTGCTCTCCGAGGGCTCTAGTTCTTTTATTAGTTTCAAAACATCTTGTCAAAGGACAGTAGTTTAAAATGAGCCAACTGGCTTACACTGGCACATTTACAGAAATGTTGATTATTGTGCATTGTCCTTATAAATATAATAAATCTAAATCTAAATAAAGACTGGAAAACAAGAGGAAACAGTTAGCTTTGCTCTGCCTAATAGGTATTGAAATCCAGCTAGCTGTTTTCCCCAGGCCCCCAAAAAGTGCGCTGGACTTTGAAGCCAATTACACCTAGTGGCTAAACTGTGTAACTACAACTTCCGGGTTTGTCGCATGATGCCATTGGGCCCTACAATAATTTTCCCCATAGACTTACAGTACAGGCCAAAAGTTTGGACACACCTTCTCATTCAATGCGTTTTCTTTATTTTCATGACTATTTACATTGTAGATTCTCACTGAAGGCATCAAAACTATGAATGAACACATGTGGAGTTATGTACTTAACAAAAAAAGGTGAAATAACTGAAAACATGTTTTATATTCTAGTTTCTTCAAAATAGCCACCCTTTGCTCTGATTACTGCTTTGCACACTCTTGGCATTCTCTCCATGAGCTTCAAGAGGTAGTCACCTGAAATGGTTTCCACTTCACAGGTGTGCCTTATCAGGGTTAATTAGTGGAATTTCTTGCTTTATCAATGG